TAGTTAAAAATTTAAAGGTAAATTATTTAAAATAAAACATTAATTAAATTATTTTTTATAATCTTATTTTAATAATTTTTAAAGGTAGATTATAAATTTTTATTGTTAAAAAATTATAAAAAATAGTGTAAATTTAATATATATTTTTAAATAATTTATCTTTAAATTTTTAACTAATTTATAATTATACGTTGAACCATTTAGAATTTTAAATTTTTATAAATTAAATTAATAGTGCTCATCGTTAACAATGCTCGTTGAACGTAACAGACTCATCCTAAAAAAAAGTATATATTGATACATTTTTATTATTTAAAATTTATATTTTATGAGTTCCTTTGATATTTAAAGCATATAGTAATTAGTTATATAAATTAAGAAAAATATACATCTTTGGATTGGAATTTTTAATACTAAAATCTACCGATATTGAGAAATTTCAAATGTACCATTTTATAAGATATTAACTTATTTCAAGAGCATGAACCAACTTACTTCAATAGTTAAAGGAATTGTTGTTATTTTTAGAGGTCATGAGTTCGAGCACTAGTAGTTGTAGCAGGATGATTGAGCGTTTATTGTCAAATGGTTGAGAGTATTTATAACAGATACTATTTTGTAATCACTTTAACTTAATAAAAAAATAATTTCTTTCAAGAATTAATTTATAAAAATATTAAAAATAAAACATATTTGCTTTTTTATTTATTATTAAATGTTTTGATATTCCCGTCTACTGATTTTTTATTTTAAAAAAAGCTTTTCAATTGAAAAATGATAAGTGTAGGAAATAAAAAGTATATATTAAAATATTAGAAAATATCAATATATTTATTTTATATTCATTGTAATATTTTAAATTATTTATGTTAATCTTTAAAACATACATTAATATTATAAAACGTATTTTATAAAATTATTATAAAAATTGTGCATAGATAGAATTGTGAGGGATTCATATTTAAATTATTAATTTTTAATAATTTTTTAATAAAAAAATTATTAAGTTTTCCCCAGCAGAATTAGTACTCCACTAATCCATGACACCAGATTGACATACATTATATTATTTTCAATAAAATAATAAGTTAATTTGTAGATTAATTCTTTCTCACATATATTTTATTGGTGACACATATTTGTAAATTCATTTGCAGATTAATTTTTATTATATTTTTTTATTTAATTTATTTTTAATAATTATTTTATATTTATTAATAATTTTTCTAATTTTCTAATAAAATAAATCCACTTTAAGCTATTCAGTGAAATATATATATATATATATATATATATATATATATATATATATTGACATGGTGATCCAACATTTGATTAATTTTGAGGTCTCGAGTTCGAACATTAAAAATATCAAAATATAGATATTTAATATTAAATAGTTAAAATTATACATTTAAACATACACAACCTTACATTTACTTTAGAGTAATAAAAAAATTGATTAATCCTAAAAGCTTTTTTGCCCTAAGAAAATAATAATATTAGAGGGGTGGATTAGGGTTGGTAAACCTAGGTTAAGCTAAGAAAAATAATAAATTAGTAAAATGTATTTAAGGTGATATTAAAGTGGGACCCATTAAAAGATACGGTCGTGGGATTTGAGTTCTGTTTTGAAAATCGGACCAGATCGGTCGGTTCAACCGGGAATAGTTGTTTAGTTCGGTTCAATATAAATCGGTTGAACCGTTATTAGTGAACCGGTCAGAACCGTTGAACCGTTCGAACCGGACCGGCTGAAAACCGAAAAAAAGGAAAAAACAGAGAAAAATCAGGAAAAACCGGGATTTTTGTTTTTTTTTAAAAAAAATAAACCAAATAACGTCGTTTGTTAAACGAGCCAAGTCGAACTCGAGTATTGCTGAGCTCGACTCGAACTTGAAAACTTTAAAAGTAAGCTCAACTCAACTCAAACTCACAAGTTAAAAATTATTAAATTCAACTTAAACTCGAAATATAATATTGAAACTTGAACTCAAAAAGACTTGAACTCAAAAAATAATTAGAAGCTCGATTGAAGCCTAAAATTCGAGCTTGATTGAAGTGAAAAAATAGTTCACTCAATGCTCACCAAAAGGCTCCATGATTTTGAATGTCAAATTACCTCTATTATTTATAGAAGTTAGTTATGATGCGCTTCTATGTTTCTTAGCAACGTGAGATTGTTTTGTTCTCATATTTTTACTCTTTAGACTTTTAGGATGCTCTTCTATGTTTTTTAGCCATGCGAGATTGTTTTTAAAAAAAAAAATTAAACCAAACAATATCATTTTGTTATGATTTTTTTAACCACAAATTTATTTTTTGATTATAGTTATATAATTATATTTATTATTTAATATGTTTTACCTTAAATATTATGTTGTAGTTAATTTGAATCATTTTGTTTCACTTGATTTTATGGTTTTTAACTTATATATGTTATGACTTGATTTGAATATGACTTGTGATATAAAAAATTATTTTTTATTAAATATTTTTGGTATTTTTATTTAATTTTTTAAATAATTATGACGTCGTCTGGTTTTTTTGACCGATCGAATCGGTTCAATCAGTTAAACCAGTAAACTGATAGCATGACCGGTTCGCTAACCGATCCGGGTATGAAAACCATGGGTTTGAGTGAGGCCTGGGGCGGTCACTGCGGAGCCTGCATTTTTTTTTTGTTTTTTCCGCAACTCTTTCCATATTCACCCATCCACTCGCTACCTACACGCGCCAATTCCCTCTACTACAATTTTGCGGTATTATGTTCTAGTTACAGTTTCTATCTCCCTATTTTGTGAAAACTTGAAATTTGATCATATCTATTTTAGTTTGGTATAATTTAATACGATTGTTTTATAGCATTGTTAGTATGTATCTAAATTAATAACATCATTCAATTTTGTTATTAAAATGAAAACACGAAATCATTTCAGAATAATATTAGGTACTTAGTTATATAAATTTATACCATAGTACGATTTCGAATAATATTGATTTTGATTGTATAAAAGTAAAATAAAAAACGTAACATAGTACTGAATTAAAACTAAAAAAAATAAGAGTAAGTCAATTCTCCAGAATAAGAGAGGGACTAATCTCAGAATTAGACCTTTGTTAGTGAAGCGTGGATGAAAAGGGCGCGTGCAGATGGGATGGAGAGTGTCGCAGGTAGGGGACGCAGTGCCCCGCAATTCGTGCGCTTTCACTTTTCTTTATGAGAAACGATGCACCGACTCACTGCCGATGACACGTGCGCACGTGACCCCTCATTCTGACTCAATACTCACCTGCCTGTCCTCTTTGTATGCAGTTTTTTTTTTAATATTAACTAATTAATCTCTGCTTAAAACCATTTTGATTTTTGTACTAATTAGATGCGAGCACCCCCACCCCTTTCAAAGACATTTTAGAATATAATGATAAAAGTTTTGTTGATTTTGAGTTGTTGATTTTGATTAGACTCGTATTAATATACAATCGAAGATAATTTTTGACTTTTGGAATACCTGTGATCCCAATATACAAAATTATAATTATGCACGGATCAAGTGATATTGATTGTAAAATATTTGTTATTATTTCTTGAGGTCTTGGTTTCGAGTACTATGAACGTCAAATATATATGAACGTTCAATGTCAAATGATTGAAAATAATTTTTAAATAAATATTATCTTATATTTATCTAAGATTAATAAAATAACTATAACTATATAATTACATGAGTTTATTTTTTTTACATAATATTAGTTATAAAACTGAAGCTTGCAATTATGTTTGAAATTACACCAACTTTTACTACTAATAATTGAAAAGTGTAATTGAACCTTTCATTACATCTGATTTAAAATGATTTATAAATTAAACAATTATCTAAATACGTGACAACTATAAATTACATTAAAGTATACCCAAATTTAACTATATGGTACCATTTAAACCCCATATTAAATTTATCTATAGGTGGTTTGACATCTATCGTCGTTTGATTTTAGCTTGAATTTGATGTTATATCTATTGTTCAAGATAATATTTATTTGTTATCTTTATGATTTTTACTTCTTTAGACCCTCATATTAAATTTGAATATGTGATTTGCGTTAAGAGATAATTTTCTCACTACGTTACTGGAGTCTGATTTACGTTTGTCAGTGATTTTTCAATAATTTGATTCCTTATCATTGTTCATTTTCAATACAATCAAATATATTCATATCTACATTTTATTGGAATTTTTAGGATGATATTTTAATCTCTCTTTTATCCTCCTGTTCTAAGGCTTCGTCCAGACTAATCTAGACCGATCCGGGTCGCACACCTGATTTTGGTGGGTGAATCTTCCAGTGGGATTTTCTGCCTACACAAAGACTCGAACTTAATTACTTACTTAAACGATATCAAACTGCTTATCACTTGACTCAACATGTTGATATTTACATCAAACTTTTTTACATCAAACTTTTTTACATCAAACTTTTTTAAAACTCTTAACATTATTATTATAGAGAATACATTTTTACCTAAGAAAGTTAATTATTGAACTAACCAAATTGTAAATAAGGAATTAAAAAAAGACAATGCCTTACAATACACTCCCCATTTAAACAATCCAAATTGACTGTGAATTCCCTTCTTCCCACACTCCTCATCTCGCCTCGAACATCTACAAACATATATATATTAATAAAGTTATATTATTATTATTATTGTAATTTTGTTAAAAAAGTCTGCAAGAAATGTCCCCAAAAAAAAAAAAAGAGTCCCCACCAATTTTATATCTTTCATAGTCATACTTGAAACTACTTAAAACGAAGCAAGTATAGAAATGCTTCTTCCCTTTCAGACAGAACAGTAGCAAGTACAGCAAGAAGCTTTGCTTTGTGGTGGTTTCCCCAGTCTTCAAAGGCAGCTTTTTTCTTTCTTTCTTTCTTTTTTTCCTTGTAGAAACCCTGAGAGAGTGGCAAAAGAGCAGCAGGTGGTGATTTTGAAAAAGAAGAATAAAGGAAGATGGTGGGCTCAGGTTCAGCAGATAGGAGCAAAGATGCTGTTGGGATGATGGCCCTTCACGAAGCACTTCGAACCGTTTGTCTCAACTCGGACTGGACTTACTCTGTTTTCTGGACCATCCGTCCTCGCCCGTATCTCTCTACTTTTCCTTTCTATTTATTTGCTCATCATCACGTGAAGTTCCCATTTTCCCCCCGCTTCTTCGAGTTCTTTCACCTGTTTGACTCAACGGGTTTTCTTTGTCTTCTTGTTTGTTTCTAAGGAGAGTGAGGGGCGGTAATGGTTGCAAGGTTGGAGATGATAACGGCAGCTTGTAAGTTTTTTCCCCTTGTTGTTGTTATTGTCTGTTTGTTTCCCGGTAAAATCGAGGAAAAGGAGGGTGTTTTGACTGCAAAATTTGTGATTTTAAAGGATGCTGATGTGGGAAGATGGATTTTGCAAAGGAAGAGTTGCAGATTGTTTGGAAGAGATTGATGGAGAAGATCCAGTGCGGAAAGCTTTCAGCAAAATGTCCATTCAATTATATAATTATGGAGAAGGGTGGGTATTGGGTAGGTGTTTTTTTAATATAATATAAACACACACACACATATGTTTCAATCCTCTTAGTGGAAAAACAAATGGAAATCTGTGTTCTTTGATTTGTTGAAATTTGAATTATTGAATAGGTTGATGGGAAAAGTTGCATCAGATAAGTGTCATAAATGGGTATTCAAAGAACCAACGGAATGTGAACCCAATATCTCCAATTACTGGCAGAGTTCCTTTGATGCTGTAATTTTCTCTCTTTTTGATTTCAATTTGTTTACACTATTTTCGAGTTCGAAGATTAATCTATGTTATTCCGACACTTTATTCGCGAATCCGCATTCGTAACATCAGTAATCGGTATTGTGGCTGTAATTGCAGCTTCCTCCTGAATGGACTGATCAATTTGATTCAGGCATTCAGGTCAGCACAGAAACTATCCAAATTTCATATGTTCACTGTTGTTGGTTTACTTTGACTAATCATTAAGACCTTGGTGATTTCTTGGTGTGTTTTTCTATCTTTCTTGTTCAACAGACTATTGCTGTGATTCAAGCTGGCCATGGTCTTCTCCAGTTAGGTTCCTGCAAGATTGTGAGTCTTATTATATGTTTAGTTGGTTATAAAGCAGCTCCTCGAAAACATAGTTTCCGGGGTGTTTTTTAAACTTTTCGTTGTCGATTATCAAATTGAAGTTCGTTTACTTTGTATCGTCTGAATCCTCATATACCTTTGAATCTCTTGGATATCAATCTGGTTTCTAGTATGAATTGTTTATGTTCACTGGTTATTTAGTTGATCATAAAGTAGCTCTTCAAAATGCAGTTTTTTGTTTTCTTTAATAGGCTCTTTGCGGTCGGTTTTGGGTATGAAAATCCATTGTTTTGATCTCATTGTGCGAATCCTCGGATCCCTTTGAATCTCTAGGATACCAATCTGGTTTCTAACATGAAACATGTATGATTACTAGTTTCTTGAACATGAAGTAGCTCTTCAAAATGTTGTTCTGTTTTTTTTTCCTTCGTGGTTGATTTTCGAGATTAAATTCGGGCCTTTCGATCTCATTTTGTGTGAATCCTTAGATACCTTTGGATCTCTTGGACATAAATTTGGTTCTTTATGTGAAAAATTTTATGATTGCTAGTTGTTTAGTCGATTTTTGGGATTGAAGTCTGGTCTTTTAATCCACAGATACCCGAAGACCTTCATTTTGTGCTGAGAATGAGGCATACCTTTGAATCTCTTGGATACCAATCTGGTTTCTATCTGTCTCAGTTGTTTTCATTGAACAGAAATGGTTCGTCTAAGCAGTCCACCGTTCCAACGCTGCCACCTCCTCCGCTCTTCAATTGGAGCCAGCGGCCACTTCCGACAGCAACTAATCCGACGCTTGCTTCGCCTAATTTTCAGAACCCGGCTAGACTTGGATTTCAGCAACCCAAAGACGAAACCCACATGTTCCTACTGCCACGTTCGTCCGAAACCCGAATGGAAGACATGATGGTTGAGCATGAAAACGACATCAAATGGCCTAATGGCTTGAGTTTCTTCAGTGCTCTCACCGGACGAACCGAAGACGCCAAGTTTTTATTCAACTCTGAGAGCTTAGGGAACAAACCAGAAACAAACCATCACCCACAAATACTCGAAGGAAAAGACTCGAATCAAAATTCAGATAGCTTGGATAGTCATCCGGTGAATATGAGGAAGATGGATAAGTTAAAGAACTTTACGATACCCGCAAGGATGGCAACGTCTTCATCGTCGACTTCAGTCGAGCATCATCAGCACCAACCCGGGGAGTATAGGAACTCCGAGCCCGGGATGTACACGGATGTCATGGAAACGTTCTTGGAATGAAATGTAGAAGGATTAGGGTTTGTTTTTCTCCCATATAAATGTCTCTTTAATCCACTAAAACTGGACTTTCTAATCATTTGTTGTAGTTTATCCTTGATATAACTTCCTCCTACGTTTTTGTTCAAAAAAAGTTATTGGGTGAAATTTAGAAATAGTCATTAAACTATTATAAAATGATTTTTTAAACATTAAATTTACAAAATGAGAATTAAGTTTTTTAATTTTGTTACAAACTGAACCCTGGGTCGTTAAATATTTTTTTAGAAAATATCTTAATTAGTCCCTCATAATTTTTTTTTGATGTTTTACCAATATTTTTAAGTAGTAATTTAAAAAATTATAAATATATGAAAATTTATAATTTATTTTTAAAATTATAAGTTTATAATTTTTTATAATATTTTATTTTGTAATTTATTAAAATCTTACAAATTTATAACTTCAATTTAACATTTTTTAATATGCATTCAATTGAGTATTTTGTATTTATATGCCAAAAGAGATCCCTTTTTCCCATATGTATGGGGTAAGGGGAGGTAAGATAGTAGGCTACCCTCAACACCAGGTTGAGAGCAGCTTCCATAAGAGACCTCCGAATTATGAAATGTCCTCCGTGGGACTCGATCTCACGACCTCAAGGTTAAGAACCTTGTGCTCTACCAACTGAGCTGGATGATCATTTTTAAAAAATATATTTTTATATTTCTAAAAATAAAATATGATTATATATATTTAATATTTTTAATTTCTATGAAATTATTCTTTAGAAATATTTAAAAAAAAAATTTTTGTTACAATTAAAAGGTTAAATGAGATATTATTTAGGGTAACTACGCATTTAATACTTAAACTATTAGTTTTGGTCTATTTTAATATCTGAACTTTCATTTTTTTTCAAAATCATACTTAACATATAGTTTTCTTTCATTTTAGTACCCCATTGTTAAACACATTTAGTACCTAAACTATTAATTTTGGCTATTTTTAGTACCTAAACTTTTACTCTTTTTTTATAAAAACTTATCGTTAAATTTTGAACATGTGTACTAAAACGAAATAAAAGCTAAACTTAGGCGTATTTTGAAATGACTTATAACAAAAATAAGTGTCTAATCTATGATTCGAAAAACGTTTTAGTGCCTAAATTTTTTTTTGCTAAAAATAGATACCTAAAGTTTTCTCCGTTACACTTTTAGGTGATTACCGTTAAAAAAATGTGAAGTGATAAAAAATTAATTTTGAGTATAATTTAGACACTTATTTTTATGTTAAGCCTTTTGAAAAATTGAAAGTTTAGGTACTAAAACAGACCAAAATTAATAATTTAAGTACTAAACATGTAATTTACCATATTATTTATTAATTTTAATGTACCACATCATTTCTGTTAACGATGACACGATACTCATTTTACAACAAAATAAAAAAAATCATTTTATAATTTATAAAACTTTAATGTCTAAAATGATTACTTTAAAATAATTTCGTGATCATCCTTTAGATTTACCTAAATTTAATTTATTGAAGTTTATAATTGTTAAAGATGATTAAAGAATTAAATCTTCCAATGACACCTTCGTAGAATTGATAAAAGTTGGTATTTTATGTTTGCGTATTCAGATGTGATTTTTGTTTTAAATATTTTTATTAATTTATATGAATTATGTATAATTTTTTTTTAATTTAAATCTTTTAGTATATATCTACATCTGAATATGTGCTAATTATTAATCCATTTATATTTTATAACGATTAACTTTAATTTTAATATATTCAAATATGTATTCATTGATAGTGAAGACTCATTTGGAACAACGCACAATATCAAAATTAGCCACTATTATTTTGACCAAAAATTGAAACATTCAAAGCTAAAGTGCTCTAAAAATTATAAGGACCAACATGAACATTCAAGCAAATGTTTATGGGCTAATTTTCAGACATGCATAAAATATTAAAAAAAAAATAAAGTACTACAACTAAAATATCAAGAGGAAAAAAAAAACAACCCATGAATTAAGTTTTAACCCCTCAAAATTTTTTGAATTCAATTGCTTCTTAGGTCTTGTTAATTTTGAAACTAAGCAAATTAAGCCTCAACCTCCCAAACTGTTGGGTAAAGTTGCTTTTTAGGTCCTCTCAATTTTAAAATTAAGCATATTAGACCCCAAACCTCCTAATATTTAAGTTGATGATAATTAAACTACAACACTATTCATATTTGCACCCCTGGAATTTGATTGTGGTCTTAAGCTATATGTTTTTCTATATATCAGAACATGCATGCACCCAACACTGTTGAAATACATAGCTTTTGAGTAAATAACAAGTCCTGGAAATCTTGCAGAAATTTGCAATTGCAATGAATATCACAAGACCAAATTCAATTCATTTAAAGAAACCAGCTCTATACTCTTCATTTTGCCTGATTATATATAAATATGTAAAGTTCACAAGATAAATAAGATTCAGAATACAAACTTGTTAATCACCTTTGATTTTTGTTGATGAAAACTGACAAATCCATCTTTGCATTTCCATATCCACCCTGCAATATTGAAATCCCTCAGAATTTCTAATTTAATGCAATGATTTCAAGTATTTACAATGGAAGTAGTGCATACATTCAAGAATATCGCACTCTTTAACTTCGAGACCGGAAGCATCGCAAAGGGTCTCGATTGAGTTCTTATAATATCATATCATGATAATGTAGCATACAATAGAAATTTGCATGAAATGCTCGCATAATACTTCAATGAGCTCGACATGAATTTACTAAAAAATATTTCCAAACTTCTATCTCGAAGACTTCTGGAAGCTCATAATGCAAACCCATGTTTCGATACAGGTAGTTAAAAGAAAATGCAAAGTCGAAGTAACACAGAAGCTAGGATGTTCAAGGAGAAAGAAAGTTTTAGCCTATAAGGTCGTATACATGCCGAAAACTGATTTCAAAGAAGTGCAAGAACTTAAAATAATTGACCTCGGCAACATCAGAAGATTTGGATTAAGAAAAGGAAATGGGAAAATAGCATAATTTGTGAAATGCAGAATCCAAAACTAGCCTGCAGAATCCAAAACTTTTTTTTTTTTTGAGAAATGCAAAATCCAAAACCTGATTTACCATTCGAGAAGCATAATTTCTGAAGTAACAGCTGGCTCTCAAATTCCTTGAACTGGCTTTCAACATAACTTCCTCAAGATCTGAGATTTTTGGTTGCATGCACCTTGAGATGACACGGATGATCCAAATGGCAGGCATGAAAAGTTAGAAGTAAACACGATCCAGGGTGGTGCTACAAATGGTGTCGGTTTCTAAGGCTATGAAGCATTAAGAAATTATGCAAAGCTGCAGAAGAGAAAAAAAAAATGAAAAACCCATATTTGGCATCGAAGGCAATTCTGAAATGGTGTTTTGATTCCATAATCATCAGGATCCGGACAGCACTGCTAAATCAGTTAATTTTGTATGGCCAAGGCTTGTTACAAGCTCCAGGGATATGAAGTGTTTTGGTAAATCTTCAAATTCTTCTTCTTTCAGATTATATTTCTGTTGAAGCTCTTTTGCTTCAGAATTAGCTGCATCGGCTTCTGCAAGTAGAAGGCTGGCCTCTTCCTCATCGCCCAACTCTAGAGCAGCAGATCTTTCAGCTTTAGCAGCGCCGGCAATTAGGAGTAACCTCTGGAACCTAGCCATTGCCAGTTCTTTTTCTTTTGATGAAATCAGTCCTTCAATCTCCTGTAATTTATCCACCGTATGCTTTATCTCTTCCTCCAGCTTCCCAAGATCCAAGACAGCTTTGTCCAATTCACTTTGCACGCTTTCCTTTTCAGTGCTTAATGATTTTGCTTCAGCTGCTAATCGTGCAGCTTCCTTGAAATTTCTCGAAGCAGCAGCAACTTTCTTTTCTGCTTCAAGTTCTGGAACCATTTTGTCTATGAAAATAACCCTCTGCTTTAAAGATGCTATATTCTGCTGAATGCTCGATTTTGTTGAAGATAATTCCTGAAATCCATAGAGGGCAAATTTAAATAACTACGGGTACCATAGACAGGGCGAAAACAGATATCGAAATTCGAAAGCTCTTTGTATACTACTAACTAGAACATGCTAAACTCAAGTCAAACATACTACCAAGAAAAGAGCAACATCATGGTATTTAATATTCCACTTATATATTTTCAAGATCCTGAAATTTTTCAAGAGGAGGAATTGGTTATCAATAGCTTTGGTTATGAAATTAAGGACAAGTATATTTCCTAGATGAATATTAGCAGTAGGTTGTTAAATAATGGCTTCATACACTTTTTAGTGCCTAAACTATATTTCAAAAAATGATTTGGTGCCTAAAGAATTTTTTGCTAACAATAGGTTCCTAAAGTTTCTAACGTTACACTTTTAGGTGTCTGGACCGTAACGGAATTAAATTTGGCTGTTATCTGACACTTGTCACACATAAAATTATAAAAATTATTTTCTTTAAAAAAACTTAATATTATAATTTAAAATAAAACCCCCAAATTTTACATCTTCTGCCGTCGATCGTCCACCGTCGGTCCGTGGCCGTCACCGTTGACACCATCAAAACCGTCAAACCCAATCCCCTACTCACCATGAAACTGCGCCGATCGTCGTGAAAAATGCCGAGAAGGTCGTCGGATTTCTAGGTTTTTCGTCGCTGTTTTTGGCGATTTCAACGACTACAACCGTCCTTACGTTACACGACTGTCAACGTAGAGTTTCTCGTCCTGCTCCGAACGAAACCCGACAGGCACTGACCCTTCGCCGTCGGCGGTGGGGGGATGGGAGGAAGAGGGTCCGGGGGTTGAATTTTTTTTTTTTTTAAATTTATTATTAAAAAATTTAAAAAATATAACGGTAAGTAACTAAAAGTGTAATTGAGAAAACGTTACGCACCTATTATTAGCAAAAAATTCTTTAGGCACCAAATCGTATTTTGAGGTATAATTTAGGCACTAAAAAATGTATTAAGCCTTAAATAATTCATCTGAGGTGAGGCCGGGAATTCAATCCAAATTATGCAAAGCTTGAATTCACAAAGTAGGACTACTAGACAATGCTTTATGCCAGTTAAGAGGGTTAGCATCTCATGTTGGATGAAGGAAATAAGAATGGATCTCGTGTTGGGCTTGGGAGTAAAAAATAAAAACGTAATAGAACACAATCAATTATAGAAAAATCCATATTGTTTATATATCGGAGAATAAAAACGAACCTGTAAGGTAGCCCTTGCCGTAGAAGCCTCCAGTTGAAGCATTTGAACCTCCTCAGAAAGCTTCTCTTCAGTTTTAGCAAGCCTCGCTTTATCTTCCATTGACTTCAGAACAGAGGATAGCAAACTTTTTCTTAGCCCGACAACTTCCTCGTACATTTTCCCTTCTCCCACAGAGATCTCAGCAAGTTCCTTGAGTTTGGTCCCCCTATGTTCTTCTTCAGCAAGGACTTTGTCAATTTCTTCCTTTTTCTTTGAAAGAGTTTCTCTCTCTATGTCCATCCGAGAAAGATGAGATTGAAAGCTGTCATACTTGGAATCAATGCTCGATCGCATCTCTTGAAACCCAGAGATCCTATCAGCAATCCTTTGATCCACTTGTTTCATTTTGGAGTCGTTTTCAGCAATTTCTTTTTCCTTTTCTTTTACCAAGGCAAGTAATTTTTGCAATTCACCGGTCAAGATATCCTTCTGATTACAAAGAAATACTTTCTCTCTCTTATCGTCCTCGATCAAGCTATCAAGGGAAGCATTAAATACCGCACGGGCATCGTCTACTAAATGTGCCTCAATTTGCAATTCTAACTTGTTCAACTCCAAGGCTTCGGTCGAAGAGAGCCATTTCTCCCTTTCTTCTGACGATTGAGCTTCTGATTTCAGGAAAACTGAATCAGCATCACTCAAAGCATCCTGTGGGAATAAAAACGTGTAAGATCAGAATCAATCTCTAATAATGGAAGAACAGAACCGAATTATATTCCACTCACAACACATAAGAAAGTAGTTGTAAGAAAGCACTACATATATAAGCAGTCTATGACTGTGAAAGATTGAGATGTTAATCTATTGGCAACTTTGCAATTAATGACTAACCTCGGAGAAACGATGGAGCAAAGTGGCACATTCCTCCTCGACCGCAATCTGGCAGTTGAGAACCTCTAGCATTTTGGAATCGATAGCATTACATTGGGCCTCCGCATCTCGGAGAGAAGTAAGGAGAGCCTGTTTATCCTTGTCAGCAGCAGCAAGACTCTCATTGATCCTATCAGCAGCTTCGAAATCTTCGGCTTCACAAGCTTCCTCCAATTGCTTTTCAAGCTCCCCAAGTCTGGTAGTTGCTAAATGAAGATCATCAGCAGCCTTTCTTCTCCTCCTAATGGAGTCCTTGCGGGCTGCAAATATGGATGCAGCCAATTCACGAGCATGATTGAGCTTATCAGCAATCTGAGCCTTGATTTGCTCAAATTGGGATTCAACTCCATTAACGGTTTGCTGTTGTTGTTGTTGTTGCTGCTGCTGCTTCTGCTGCTGCTGAGGTTGGCTTTGTTGGGATTGCAAATCCGAGTCCAAGGCCAAAGATACTTTACTGGCCATGATGGTGCTGCTGCTGCTATGAAGAGATTGTTGCACATGATGGCTAACATTATGACCATCTGTATTATTATTAATTTGATCATCTCCACCAAATTCAATACTGGATCTGGTATCATGACTATCAACATCATTATTATTAATCCGGTAATCTCTACCGTATCCAATTCTGAATCCAACAGCTTTCTTTTTCTTTCGATGAGTCGAAGATGTCTGCCGAGAGAATGCAGTAGCAGGAGCTGGCGCAGGTTCTGGTTCATGCTTGGGTTGAGGTTCAGGTTCCAGCTGATCGAGCGGGGTTTGAAGGACAAGGTCAGAGAATAGGTTCTCATCAAGGGGCTCTGGAACCCCTTGCTGCTGCTGCTGTTTTAAATCCATTGATTCGGATTTAGCTTCGGGTTCTGGTTCCGGGTGATTGGGATCTTGCTTTTGCTCTAGTTCATGGTCTTCTACCAACTGGGATGGTGTGAAAAGAACCATCCCTTCAAACAAAGAATCCATTTCATCAACATCCATCTCCATTCCACCTCCACCTGCCATCTCCATCTCAGCTTTGTCTAAAGATTTTCCCACCAACCAAACAGAACAAAAAAATGGGAAAATCACATATCAAATCAAGCATTCAAAAGCGACAATTCAACACTCAGAATGATTAAAACAAAGAAGAATCAAGATCTTATAGCGATAATTACAAATTTTGGCCTGAACCTGATTCAAACCCAACTAAACTCAATTCTAACAATACTTGGAAACACCATTACTACTGAGATTTAGGCTTAGCTAACAAAGATTATTGGGAAAACAATTTAAAAAAATTGTCTTTCTTACCTGTTTTGAAATTGAATGCAACTAATTCCCTTTGATCCGAGTTCCCCAAGTCTCCTTGATTTGAAAAAAATCTCGTAGGGGAGAATTCCCAGTATTCCCTTCTGCCTTTTTGTCTTTTACTTTTATGGGCTTGGGCTACTGTCTTCAGAATTCATTCTTAATAAATATATAAATAATATTTTTATATTAGATTTTGAAGTAGGAATATAGTATATTTATTAATCAAATAAAAAATCATTAAACATAGTACTACATGCAAATAAGATAAATATATTTATGTCTATCCTAAGTAAAATATAATAGTGATCGACTATTGACAACCTAATAAGTAATAGTGTAAACAATCGAGCTAATAACATATAAAGATGAATCACTCCGACTTTACAAAGCATCATATATATAGAGAATAAAAACCTAAAGAATATCCAAAGTGAACGAATGAAAAAAAATCCTCATTTAACTACAGTCTCGTCTGACACATATGTTCGAAAACCAATAGAATGTCATATGCAAATGAACAAATGAACCATGTATCATAAAAACAAACAACCATGAAATTCTGAAAAATTATAGACCAAAAAGAAGACCAATGGAAGCAGAGATGAAACTAAAAGAGAGATTGGTGGGGGGTCATGGGCCTCCAAATTTAAAGAATTATAATTTAGACCTTAAATTTAAAATAAAAATCAGTTTAGTCCTTAAAACTTTAGAAAAATCTTATTAAACTTTAAATTTTTTAATGTTTTAAATTAAACTCCTCCCTTAAATTTTAAAAATTCCTATTAAACCTATCAAAATTTTAAAAATATTAGTTAGACCCTTATTTATTGAAAAAAATGTAAACTAAACCTTCAAAGTTTTTAAAATTTTTAATTTAAACCTCCAATTTTTTAAGTTTTAATTTGGCCCCTAAATTCTATCACCAAATTCCGCCACTGAATCGAAGAAACCTACATCGAGAGTCCAAAAACACCAATAATCATAATACTCTTTATTAGAAAAACAGCCGAGAGAAAACCTAAATACATTTAAATCTAATTGAAAATTAATAAAATCGAATAACAATAAAATAAAAAATGATAAGGAAGTGGTCGGAGGATACCACCATCGCTGCCCATGATGAAAAAGCTTGTGGTAACCGCTAAGTAGTTTTGTATCCGCAACATAGGTTTTTCCCACTCTCAAATTTGAATTATTAATTCATTTTTAAAAATATTCGTCTTATTATTTGAATATTCATTTTATTATTTATATTTAAGATTTAAAATATTGTATCAATATATAGACTAAATTATCTTAATTATTAAAGAAATATTTGATATTCCTAGTTATTTCAGGTTCAAATTTCAACAACTGTAACATGAGTGATTGGGTGCTTATTATTAAATGATAGAGACTATTTAGAATATTTATTATTTTGTAACCGTCTTAACTTAATAAAAAAATATTTAATCAAACTAACTTAAAATTATTTATTGATGGATGGACAGCTAAAAGAATCAAATTGAAAGTCAATTCGATTGGACTTCAAAGTGTTAATTAAAAATAATAATTATTTTAAAAATTTAAAACATAAACTAATAACAATTAAAAGAAATCTTAGCTATTTAAAAGTAAAAATATTTTAAAATAAAAAATAGAAAAAACATTTACAATGAAAATGATCCCAAAGTTAGAAAATAAAATTATTTTTATTTATTTATTATATGTTTGGAGCTAAATTTGATCTGATTTTTAAGCATATCGATGTCATCAAATTCATATATTCATGTATGTTTTTCTAAGAATTTTTATTATCCGATTCTTTTAGACCATCAAATTTGTAGTGGAGCACAAGTGAGGTATGCTATTAAACCTGTAAGTAGGGATGGACATAGGACTCGAATTTGATGGGTTCTGATCCGAACCGACCGGGTTGTTTTTTATTTTAATTTCGGGTTCTGGTCGGGTCGAGTTTAGGGTGAAAAATATCCGACTCGACCTGATTCCAAAAAATGTACCTTATATATTTAGAAATAATTACAATAATATCACTCTATATATTATTTTTTCAATTAAGTCACTGTTTTTATTGAATAAAAATAATATTTTTTATTATTTCTGGTCGGGTCGGGTCGGGTTTTTAAGTTATATATCAGGTTGGATTCGGGTTGGATGAAATCATATTTCATGCGGATCGGGTCAGATATCAGGTGGAGGACTCATTGTTCTCGGGTCAGATCGGATGGACAAAAAATCTAACCGAACCCGACCCATGCCCATCCCTACATGTAAGGCACATAAGCACACTAAGAGCATATAAATGTAACATCAGCACATAAAAGTGTGGTACAGATATACAAATTGTAATTTTTTACACATAAATTGTTAATTTATAATATATATTTTATTTTATTTTATGACACGTCAATTATACATATTTAATTTCACGATTTATAATTTAATATTTTTATTCTCATATATTATTATCGTCATATTTATATTTTATATGTATTTATATATTTATGTATATATTCCATACAAACTCGTAACATGTATTCATATATATCCTGCTCGGGATAAGGTCGTGCCCCCTAAAAATTTTAAATTCTCTTATATTTTAAGTTATTTCTTTATATTTTCTATTGATTATATAATTTCACGCCTCCTAAAAATTGATAACTTCGCACTCCCTACAATTTTTAATATAATTTCTTAAATTTCTACGTCCGTCCCTAATCACATTCAACTTTATGAATCATAATTCTTAGAAATTTGAATTCGAGTAACGTAATCTATCCTGGTGCGTGAGTTTAGATTTAGACATTTAAAGAAAACTTGATGAATAATAATTTTTATATATTTTGTGACATATAGCACCCAAGAATTCAACTAATAACATGAACGGATTCAAATTTTGTCTTATCACATGCCAATAACATATCATTCAATATAAATAACAATAGAACTTGCACTATAATACTGCAACTATCATTTTTGCTTTGTTTTGATCACATATTATTTGCTTTAAAATCAATCTTAATATTTCGTTTGAGTTTCATTTTGGTCATCAATCGATAAAAAATTGACGGTGATCCTGACATGTCACTATAAGACAATGCCACATCGGTGATTTTGTTAATTTTTTAATTGCGACTGACTAAAATGAAACCAAAACTAAACGTTAAGTATGATTTTAAAACGAAATATAATTGAATGACCAAAACAAAACAAAAGTAATAGGTACTAAACATGTACTTTACCCTTTTTCTATTGGATGGTCTTCCTTCCACCTCCTCCTGCAAAGATATCCAATTTCATAAAACATAATCAATAATTTATTAATTTAATACAATACATAACCTTAATAACATATATGAATTACTATTTAATGCTTAAAACATCACACACTACTCTCCTACCTTTTTCTAATAACTTTATCTTTCGAAACATTTGTTTTTTTTTTAAATAAATAAAATTTTAATCGATTGACAATAAACATACACACTATGTAAATGTAATTACTTAAATTTAATATTTCTAAAAAAACACTCCAATTTATCACTAAAATCATTTGATAAATTTAATATTAAATTAATTTATATATCAAAATAAAACCAAAAAATTTAAAGTTGCAATTTTAACATCCAACAATGTATCACTACTAACCCAATAACTCATCGTCCATCTTCATCTTCACCACTTATCTTCATCCTCGGAACTAAACGCCACCATCCCTACAATCACGGACGGAGCTAGCTTAATATGAGGGGTGTTATACACATAGGGATGGGCACGGGTCGGGCCCAAAACTTTTACATCCTCCATCCGACCCGACCAAAAAAATATATATCCTCTATCCGATCCGAACCTAATTCTATTTTTTGAGATAAAATCCGAACTCTACCGACCCGATCCAAAATAATAAAAAATACTATTTTTATTCAATAAAAGTAGGGGTTTAATTAAAAAAATAATATATATAGGGGTCTTATTGTAATTATCCTTAAATAGATAAGGTAAAATTATTTTCTTTCGGGTCGGGTTAGATATTTTCACCCTAAATCCGAACCTGATTTTTTTTTAAAAAATCTGACCCAATACGTTTGGGTCCCATGCCCATCCCTATAGATAGAGACGAAGTCAGAATTCTAACTTAAGAGGACAGAGTATCATTAATCATAAAAAATGAAGGAGAAAAATATAATTAACCATAGAAAGTGATGAGATAAAATCAAAATAAACTAAAACTTGGAGTCCTAATTTAATATTTTCTCATATATTTTTCATAATAAAAAAATGTAGGAGAGGGCAATAGAGCTGGGCATATGGACTAAGGCTCGCGGGCTACCGGTATAACCCGCGGGCCGTGCGGGTTTCGGGCCTCAAAAAATAAAACTCGTTTAAATTGAGGGCTTATTAGCCCGGACCGTTAAACCTGTGGGTTTAATGGGTATACTCACAGGTTCAGCGGGTAGGCCGCTTAATTTAATTATTTTTTTCAATTTATTTTATATTTTATAGAAGACAATTCACGTTTAGCTAAATTCACGTTTTATGTGCATTTTAGCCATAACCCAATTCACGTTTTATGCGCACTGAAGTCTGAAGCCCAATTCACGTTATTGGTGGTATGGTTGGATCCTTGAGAATGAATAAGGAGCCCACTCCTCATGTGAATATATTATTGTCGACACCATTTTTCGCCCGGGCGAGGAAAGACCGATACTGAGTCGGGGGTTTTCTCTTTGAAAATCATTTCGAATGTGAGGAGTCTCCACCAATCATATAAGGTGAGATTGGAACACCGTAAAAAACCGGGTGATTTTAATAAACCATTTTATTTTAAATAAAATATCAAGTTTTAGGGTTTGCAAAAATCCAAAAATTAGGTTCGGGAGTCAGTTACGCATGGAGAAGGATTAGCACCCCCACAAGCGCCCAAAAATTGGTACCTAGTTGATTACCCTATATTTAAAACTAGAAATTTTGAGTTCGATCTTTATTTAATTTAAAAATCATTAAGGATGCAAAGTTTGAAAATTGTTATTCGTTTATTTAGACCAATAGCATTCGCCCCCGAGCGTAAATGCGGAGATCAACTATTGTGTCTAATAACTGAACATTACCTTGTTTTT